TGGTTCCATCTCGATTTGTTGGGAACAAGAAACAAAATCAACGGTTGTAAATATCTTTGAATTATTTAATTTATTTAATAAATATTCAATTTTAGGCATGAGGAATTTGTCTGGAATAGATTAAGCATTTAGTTTCCGATATTCTATAACCATTCGATTTTTTTTTCTCCGCTTGCATCACTTTTTTTGGGAACTATCCAAATAGGACTGTTATAAGGGGAATTGTTTTCTCTTATAATTCCATTATTTAGTAATATTTCAAAATTTACATGATTTTGTCGTGGGAATCTGTAACTTCTAGTAAACATGGATTTGTCAGTTTTCAGACGAATCGAATGTTTTAGTAAATCAATACTTTGTAAAATATCTTCGGTTTTAACAATATCCGGATATTTTACCAAAGTATCAAATAATTTATCTTTTATTTCTTTATTAATGTGGCCATGCTTAACTAAGTTATACTATCCCTTATTATATTTTATTAAATTTAAATTATAATTATCAACTATTTTCTCTTCTTTAACGGTAATATTATGTAATTTTGTTTGTAAATTTTTATTTCCGTTGATACCTCTTCCATTCCTTCCTCACCTAATAATGAATCAAATTTATCGCTAACTTGAAATATTTTTAAATAGAATTTACACGATATAGCTAGTGGGTCCTCGACTTCGTTACACATCTCTCAATTTGATGTCACCTTTATTTTTTTCAACTATAAGAATTTATTTGTATTTCCATGGTTGGCTCTCAACCTAATTAAATTTGTTACCTCACTTCTTCTCAAACATATTCCAATAGAGGTTAACCAAGGTTTTAAAGAGATTTTTGGTTGGATGAAATAGTGGTCTCTCCCTTTGCTTTGAGACTCATAAAATAATAAATTTTACCAATTGTTTTACTCAGTGAACGGAAAAAGTGTATTTTGGGGACTTTAGAATTAATTCTTATTTCATTGGTAGTATCTCGAACAATTTTATCTGCACTTTCATCTCCGTGTAGACCCACATGTCCTGGTTGTTAGGATTAATTAATTTATGTTAATTGTTATTGTATATTCTAACTACAACACTGTTACTGACAACACTGTCAGATGTGACGTCAGTGATCACAACAATGTATACTCGCTCGATATAGCTTCTATGTTTGTAGTGTTCTTCCATAATAAACGTTTCTGTATTGTCTGTGTTTGTTTCATGAAGAAACCCTGACCATTATTAACACTGGTACCCACTGAAATGAAAATTTATTACTTGATGTGGAAATTAAGTTAAAAATTTAATACAGAATGTAATTGGTAATTGGGGTCTTTTGTGCATTTTGTAGAAATTGGCATAGAGATGCTGAGTCTGTGAGAAAAACTGTATTACACTTTTTATAATGTAGGTTAGTATGTTCTAGAGCCTTAAAAACAGGAAAAAGTTTTGCATGGAAAATACTGAAATTGTTCGGAATAGAATAAGACAGATTGATCTTTTTTTGCGTGTCATAAATGGCTATTCAGCATGAATTAGTGGTCTTAGAAGCGTCAGTATAAATTTTAATATGGTTAGAGTAAATATCAGCTATTTCACAGAGGGTATGAAGTTTTAGCAAATATGGTGATAATATGAATTTTTATTATTTATATTTGACAATTTGTATTTACTACGGTAAAGAATTGTTAATTTCGAAATATGTGTAAAGAGATCTAGAGGGCCAGGGAAAATGTGACTCTTGCCAGCAATTTTTTAAGTTTGGAAAAAATATTTTTCCTTCTCGAAAAATGTTGCCCATGGGATTGGACTGGTCAGAGTAATCATTAATTAGGAATCTTTTGTTAGCCATTTCCTAGGCAATGATAGAGCAGTTTCCCCAGCTTCGGCCAGCAGTGCGTTTATTGGTGTTGTTTTAAAGGCTCCAATACATATCCGAAGGGCTAAATTTTGGATTTTCTTCAGTTTTAAATTAATGAAGTCATGGTTTCTTGATAGGTTATGTATGCATAATCGATAAATGACCGTATTAATGGTTTGTATAATATCATCATATTTAAAGAGAGTGTGCCCCACGGGGCTTCTGCTTTTTATAACATACGTAACAGCTGAAACATTTAACTCTAATAAATCCGCAATCTCATGTCTAAGATGGGTGTCGGGGAAGAATAAATAAATAAAGCTAAGTTTCTATATTGTATTATCTACATGCATAGAACTACATCTATGAATTAAGTAATCTACAAAGTTTCAACTGTCTAAATATATTCCACTATAAATATAAACAATCTATCAGCCTGGCTCAGTCCGTCAAATAGTGAGTACGTTCTCTGTGCCTCTTCTTCTTTTAAACACTTTCATCAACAGTTTGTGAGTAATAATATTGATACTATTATTAAAAATCAATCAGTGGATTGTAAACTGCATATATGGTGAACAGTGAATAATTCTAATTAAATATTCACTATTGAATATTTACAGCTGCTATAAAAGAAGAAGCTAGCTGGGTATTACTAATACCGTATTAGACAGACTGAGTTAAGAGAGTATCTTAGTTGTATAGCCCACCGCTGCTCACAGGCGGATCTACGGGGAGGGAAAGGCGGTGGTGCTTTCGAGCTGAAGCCCCCCCCCAAAAAAAAAAAGAAAATAGTTAAATGTAACCATGTTTTACGGAAAATAATCTCAAAAAATTATTTCTTAAAGTATTATTGTTCGTGTAATTGCATTTAATAAGACTTCAAGAATCTTTTAAACACCATTTCACACAGGTAGATAGTATCTTTCTTTTTTACCCAAAGTAATTATCGTTATATATATATGAAAAACAAATATAACTTTAGGGCTGAAGCATCACCAAAAATTAAATCCTGGATCATTTCTACCACTCCCCGCCACATTATTCCTATCGTCTAGACATTACAGATTACGTTACAGATTTTTAGTGTACCTGTTCCAACCCGTTCCATTCCCCAAATGGAGCTGTTTCAAATTATCGATACTGTTCCTTTAATTAATCAAATTAATCAAACTATGTCTACCATCCATCTTTCCTATCCTACTGCATATTTACAATTTTTCAAAATTCCTGTTTCCCGTCAGCTTTGAAAGAAGTTATAGTCCATCCTTTGAGCAAAGTTCTAGTTCCCTCCAAAGCTTCCGATTTCAGACCAACTCCATTCTCTCCAATCTTTCAAAGCCTCTCGAAAGACTAGTCAGTTCTCAGTTAAATACCTTCCTTGAGTAAAATACTCTTCTCAATCCCCTACAGTCTGGTTTTCGATCCCAGTTCTCCAATTCTCCACAGATAAACAGAGAATCTCTATCCTAGTTCTCTTGGATTTTTCAAAAGCCTTCGATTCCGTTAATCATAAAATCCTTCTTTCCAAATTCCAAAACCTTTCCATATCAAATAGCATCCTAAAGTCGTTCAATTCCTTCTTGTATCACAGATCCCAAACAGTCATCATTTCCGATTAAACTTCTTCCTCCCTCCACTTACTAGCTCGTGGTGTCCCGCAAGGATCTTGGCTCTCTCTAATTCTTTTCTCCATTCACATTAACGACCTTCCTAATTCCATCCATCATTCACAATACCACCTTTATGTCGACGACCTTCAAATGTATCTTTCCTTTCTTCCTACCCAGATCCTTGAGGCGATACGGTAGTTACAGGAAGATATAGATAGTATTACTACTTCGGCGATGAGTAATGATTTAAATTTGAACGTTGAGAAGACCAAAGCCAATCTCATTGGTTCCATGCATCTCATCAATTCCATCCCTTATTATCTCCTACTCTATTTCAGTGGACTACCTATTCATTTCCATAATGCCGTTAAAAATCTTGGAATAATTTTCGATCAATACCACAACACAATACTCCTGGATCAGCCATATTTTCCAAATTATCCGAAAATCTATTACTACCTTAACAGTTCTTAAGATTGCGTGATTCTTTGCCCATAAAAACTCGTTAGCTCCTAGTTTCCTCCCTCACTTCGATTATGGCTGCCTTGCATACGGTGTACTGCCTGGTGGGCTCGAGATCATATTGAAGAGACTAATGAATTGTTTCATTAGATTCATCTTTGGAGCCCCCAGGCGCTCCCACATCTCCAACTGGTACGCCGAGTTGAAGTGGCTCTATTCAGATTCCCGACGGCAATATTTCCTAGGTGATTTCTTTTTCCGAACATTAGCAACAAAAAACCTTCTTACCTTCTTGGTCTGTTTTATTCCCTGCTCCTCTGTACATTCTTTCAACACGAGATCCCAACCCACAAACCTGTTTATTCCTTCTCATAGAACTGTTTCTTTTAAAAAATATGTTTTCATACGCGTTACCTTGATCTGGAATTCCCTATCTGCTTCCGTACGCAAATCCTCATACTTAACCACATTTAAACACCATTTATTTATTCATATCCCCATCAATCAATCAATCTTCCGAATATTTTTAAGTTTTTTAGAGCTGTAACTTCATTTTACTGTCTTCTTATAGATACCTATATATTACCCATTGTCTATGTGTAAAGACTTTGTACATCTACCTATAATTAATATGTTATCTTGTGCCTTTCTTTATTTTGATATAAAGACTCAATAGCAATGTAATTTAATTAACAGCAAGAAGATGATTAACTTATATGCCAGACAATTGTCAAAAAATTGTTCATTATAATTATTCTTTTGGGATCTGAATGCCCCAGAATAAAATTTACTTTTCATTCATTCATTCATGCATTCGGTCAATTCATTAAGTCAACAAATTTTATAAAAACATAATGTGGAAATACCTTTTGCCAGCAGTATAAAAAGAAGAATAAAGATTTTCAAAGCCAGCGGTAAAAAAATAAAACTAGTCAAAATATAAACAAAATTATCAACGATATGAATTTCATTTAATTAGAAATAACTCGACATTAGGTTCTTGTCATGTTAGATAAACTTATTTTGAAAATTACCTCGTTGTAGATATATTATACATCGATATCTCATCCCGAATTGACAAGCCCTATAGCAGTAAATGTTGCCTTCTGTTTGGTTCTGTTCAAAAAGAGTTATTTGTTTTTTGCTTATTAAAAGATTATTTATTAGTTTTTCAGTGAAATTCAGCTTTCAACATCATGGAGCAGGTACTATACCATTGTCTATGGTTGCCTACTTTGTCGATCATCTTGAAATAAATAATAATTTTGATGTGATGTTAAGATCAAGTTGTTTTTTTTATGTCAACAATTATATCTAATCTCAGTGATGTTAATGTTCTGATAAATCGACACTGATTTCAATTCGATATGCTTTTACAACTATAGAATTGCTATTTAGTTTGTATATTTTCTTGTTTGGATGATTTTACTAATTACTTATGAAGATTTAATTTTTTTGAATGAAGATGAGTTTTGTTGATGTTAGGATGTATTTATATAACAGATAACCAAACTGTCATGGATCAGATTTTTGTTAATAAGGTGAATCATGTTTGTTTATTGCCATTATGTCAGGACTTGTATTTGTTGTGGTTATAATGCTGTATAAATATTTCTAATTATTTTTCTTTTGTTTCAATTTTGAATTAGTGAGATAACAGCTGAAGTATGAGTCATTATATGATCTTTGAGTACTTTATGTTGATGTATCAATAATTGAATGCATCATAAAGTTATCAACTTATTTTTTGAAAAATATTGTGGTACAACTAATCTATTAAGGCTTAATTAATGCATTACCTTGATTTTACATCTGATACATGAAATGTAAGATTTAGTATTATTTTAAGTATAAAATTGATTTAATTGGAAATTACTATCTCTTAAAGGCCCCCTTACACGGTTAATATTATTGAAGCTATATAACTGAAGGTAATATATTAAAGAACCCCTCACATGTTTCATTTATATTTTGCTGATATTATGTTTCTTACGATCTTTCTTTTCCCAAAGACGGACCTTGTTTCTTTTTTATTTGCGTAACCAAGTTCCTTTTTTTTCTAGAAATTAAAAAAAATCTTATATTGATCTGGTTACATTTTTGTGTCCTTATTTGAATGTCTCTTCACAAAAATGATTAACTCACAATTTTAAAATTTTATAAAAAACCCAAAATTTTTTCTATTGATGAAATAAATTTCTGACTAGCCTGCCTGCCTTACTTACTTCTGTGTAGTTCTGTGTTTTGTAGTGGAAGTTTAATTTTCTGTAAATATTTCCAATAGCCTGATAATAAACTTTTAAAAAATGATCAAAGAAAATAATGATGTTATTCCTTTGTCTTACTATATGTCTCATTTGTTTAATATTTGAGAAATAAGTTTGTATAAAGATTAAATTGTTATATATAATATTTTGTATAATTTTGCTTTTGTAAAAAAAAAATCATAAAAATTGATACTGAAATACTGAATTATAAGTTTAATTACATTTTGGAGTATCAATTAATGGCATAATGCGATGTAATTGTACCAAAGAAGATTTCAAATATCCTGGGGAACATAATTCCCTTTATGTTGGATATACCTCCTCCCTCACCCCTGACATAGAGAGGACCCTGCAACACTGTTTCAACCAGGCTTTATCAAGTCTCAAAACTGCCAAAATTGAGTTTTATATTTACTAAGACTGAATCAGAAGATCAAGACAACAGTAGACATGATTTTTCATGTCATACATTCTTAGTCATACATTTCTCATTGTATGTGGACATAATTGTCAATATTCGGCTACTTTTGGCATTCTTTGGGATTCCATCTATGGTGTGCTCAATGGGATAGCAAAATTAGCTGCCATCTTGGTGTAGTGTTTCGGAACGTACCAAAATCACATCTCAGTTTTAAGTTTATTCATGGTGTTGGGATACTGGTTAATAAATCAATAAAAGTTAAAAGTTCCCAGAATAAAAATTTCGATTTCACTGTTTGCATAAACTGATTTAACAAAATAAATGTTTCTTCTTCACAAATAAAAATAAATAAAATTCTTCTAAGAAATAAATTAAATGTCAATTTGAAATAAAAATAAATATTTACATAAGTTTAACTTTTGTGAGATGCAGTCAAGGGGCAAAGTCTTCACTATTAAATGTTCAAAATAAATATGACTAGGTCATAAAACTCACTGCACCAACATCACTCACTATAATCTTTCTCTATCCCTACTTTTATTTAATTTTTTTTATCCCCCTGCTTGACATAGCTGCCATATGAGGTTTTTGGCAGCAGTGGACCAATACGTTGGGATTATCGTATGTCCACTACTGCCAATAAACTACTGTGTATTGATAATTTCTTATTGTATCTTTATTGATAATTTATGGAACTGTGGTGTGGCCGGGTACATGGCTGTGCACCTTACTGGTGGTGCCACACCTTATCTATTTCTGTGGCTTGCCTTACTGCATCTTTCCCTCCGCATCTTTAGTTCTCCTCTGCTGCCTGTGGGGATATTCTTGCCCTACCTAGTGTAAAGTGTGAATAATCCACCTCTTCTTATCCATCCTGAGAATAATGGTCAACCATTGGAATATATCAGCCTCGAATTGGCGCCATTGATCTGTTTATATCCTGACTGGTGTGCCAAGTCGCGATATCCAGTGTGTCTAATATGCTTTAATGATGGTAGTTGCTGTAATGTCCTCCAAAAGGATAGCTTCCGGCCACTGTGTTGCTCTAACCACCATTGTCAAGCAATAACGTTTACCGAAAGATATTCGTAAGGGTCCTATCAAGTCCAGATGAACGTGTTTAAATTTTCCTGTAGATTGGAATATTCCTAATGGGCTAAATGTGTGGCGTTGGAATTTAGCAGGCTGGCAGGGAATACAGGTTTTGGGCAATTTGCTTACGTCTGCATTCATATCTGGCCATAAATAACGTGAAGTTATAAGCTTACTTCTTGCTCTAATGCCGGGATGTGATAGTCCATGTAAATGGTCGAAAAGTGGTTTCCTGAAATTTTCTGGAACATAAGGTCACGCCTTGCTCATTGATGTTTCGCGAAGAAGAGGTTTGTCAATTCCAGGGATAGTGATTAATATTAAATCAAGCCTAGGATTGTTTTTCAAGTCCCTGACGGTAGGATCAGCTTTCTGTGCATCAGCTAAGGCTGCACAGTTATCTGGTAACTGAACTTCCTCAACACATGACAAGGCACCGGCTACTACATTTTCACTACCTGACTTGTAGTTGATCGATGTAGAAAAACTGGCTGATGTAGTTAAGTTGTCTAATCCACCAAGGTGGTGAATTGTCAGCTTTCTGAGTAAATGCCCATCAGTCACAATGGAAAAGTTAAGCCTATCTAGGAGTGAACTGAAGTGCTTTATACCTTCATAGATCACAAGTAACTCTTTATCATAATCTCTTGAATACTTCTTGCAAGTGTGCTTCGTGTTCCTTTTTATCTCTCGAAATTGTATAGATAGGGGAAAACAAAATCTAAATCACGCATGATATCATCAGTAAAACGTTTAAAAGTTTACGCTACGTTTTTAAATCTAAATGGCATGCAAGTGTATTCTATCAGCCCAAAAGGTGTTATAACTGCTGTTTTTTTTTATGTCATCTTTAGCCACCGGAATGTGATAGAAAGCTCGAACGATGTCCAGTGTTTATAAAATCTTCTTGCCGTATAGATGTGTGGTGAAGTTCATCGAATTCAGAACAGGATAACTATCAGCGATAGTGATGACGTTCAAGCGACAGTAATCTCCGCAAGGTCATAACGTACCATCCTTTATGGTAACGAAGTGTAAGGGTCGTTTATAAGGTCTTGAATTTCATTTATAAGTTCTTGAAAATGTGCCTTGATTAAACTATATTTTTGAGGTGGAAGTCTCCTTATTTTGCTTACTACAGGGTTACTGTGAGTGAAAATGCTGTGTTGGGCAATAGAACGTGGTGAGCCTCTAATTTGTGATGGTCTTGTGAGGTTAGGAAAACTCTTAGAAAGACTTCCGTACTTGCAGTCACCAGGTATAGTTGAGATGGAAGGTATTGAAACAAGTGAATCTTGTCTGATTATCGCCAATCCTTGTTTTGATCAGTAAGTTTCTTCTGCCATAGATCCACTGTTAGGCCATGACTATAAAAAAAAAAAAAATTAGAACCAAGAATAAGTTTCACTATATCAGCGATGATAAATGTCCATTTAAGAGGTTGGCAAAGTCCAGCTGCATAGTCTTTTCACCCTAGGTATGTATGAAGCTATTGTTGGCTGCGACTAAATTGTAATTTGTTTGGACTTTATGAGGATTGCGAGTTACAGTAGAAATCACAGCTCTGGTGTCCACCAAATGTTGCTGTCCAGTCCTTTTAACATGCACGAAAAGGCGACGTTGAAGTGTTACTGGGACAACAGCCACTTCATTCGCCTCAGAATTTAGTTTAAAGCCTGCTTCCAGGCTCAGGGCTTATTACATTTCTGAGCACGATCTTTAAAACGTCTGTGGTAGAAACAAAGGCGTTCTGAAGATATAGAATGGCCTTGGGATCTGTGTCTAGATTTAAAGTTCCTACCTTTACTTTTGGAACGAGAACGAGATTCATGACGAAGTTCACCAACTTCGGTTCAGAGTTGACGAAATTCGCAGAGGAGTTTTTTGTAGAGTGATTGAGACTGTGGGGATCACATAAACTTCGTTGGGTGCATCAATTTCGGCGATCTTGTCAGCGGTAGCAGCGAGTTATCGAGGTCGTCTAGACCAGTTGAGGTGAGGATGGCTTGCATCCGATTAAACAGATTTCGTAGCCACCAAGTCCTTACAATATCTTTGTTGAGTGTCGTACCCACTTGCTGGAGCATAGAGTGAAGAAGATGTGAGGGACACTGATTTCCTAGCTGTGAGTCTTGCAGAAGTCGCTGGATTCATATTCGTCTCTATGAGTTTTTCTCTAAGACGGTCTTAGGAATTTTGAATCATCAATGATATCACCTACCTGCTGATAGGTGATCTGATGACATCGATCCCCAAGTTTGCCATAACTGACTGATATTTCATAATTTGGGAAGGTACCTTTGACATGTAAAAGATAGCTTCGACATGAGAGATCCTTAGCTTCGGTTAGGCTTTATGAAATACTGGCAATCGGTTATAAGCTCCACTGATAGAAGATACCTCTATAGAGCTATGAGGATTACCAGCTTTATCAACTCTTGCTGTATGAGCCTTTGCTATATCAATTTCTGAATTTGACATTTTGGTCCTCAGGATCACCACTTGTTGGGATACTGGTTAATAAATAAATAAAATTTATAAGTTCCTAAACTAAAAAAAAAAAACAATTTTTATTTCACTGTTTGCATAAAGTGAATAAACAAAATAAATGTTTCTTCTTCATAAATAAAAATAAACAAAATCAAATAAAATTCTTCTAAAAAATAAATTAAATGTCAATTTGAAATAAAAATAAATATTTATATAAGTTTAACTTTTGTGGTAATACCTCGTTAGCTGCTGTCCAACCTTTTTAGACAAAGACAAAGCCCCAGTAGGCTATTAGAACAAGTCTACAAATAACTTAGGCGTCATATACGCACTTTGCGTGACTCACCAAAATCTCACAGGATGCAGTCAAAGCAGAGGGGGGGGGGCAAATTCTTCACAATTATATGTTCAAAATAAATACGACTAGGTGATAAAACTCACTGCACTGGTAGCACTCACTATTAATATTTCTCCATCTCTACCATCTATCTTTTTGTCCAATTGATAAATGAGGAGATTTTATCAGAGATCGATTTGAGTATAAAATGTAAAACCGCTACAATAGCATTAGGTACTACTTTACAATTGTTATTCCAACATAATTTGTAGATAAAAGATAACATGAGTACACAGTAGATACAATAACGAAAATGGCTGAGTGTATCCAAAACAGACAGAGGTGACTGATCCCTTTGATAAGATTTCAGCCTCTACTAAAAAGGACCCATTAGGGGTTTGTTTATCTCTTTTGAAGAAATGTAAGTTGAAAGTTTTGATATATTTAAGGCAGCAGAAGTCAAAATCGTGATCTAAATTAAGAGAGGTATAGCCGTGAACATGGTTGTCAATAATCAGCCATTTTCAGAACTGCATCTACATTTTGATTAATAATCTTCTCAATTAATTTTTTGTTGTTGCATTTATATTTTGTTAATAATTTTCAGGTTCAGGCATTATATGATTTTGAAGGAGAAGGCTCTGCTGAATTAAGTATTTCTGAAGGAGAAATTTTAACAGTTACAAGACGAGATGTTGGAGAAGGTTGGTGGGAAGGCACCAATAAGCAAGGACAAACAGGCTTATTTCCAGCTGCATATGTTAAAGTGAGCCTTTAAATTTTCAATCATTAACAGTGATGATGAGATGTGAAATGGTCTTTTGGTAGATGATTGTGCTGTTTTACTTTACATCCTAGGTGGACAAAACTAAACATCTTCTCAGACTTTAAAGGATTGGTTTCAAAAATGTCTTTATTATGCACATATTATACTAGGCTGTCCAGCAACCTGGAATCGCTCGTAAAGTAGGAATTTTGTGAGAATTTCTCTAATATGGGGAAATCTTGGAAATAAATATCTGATAATTCCTGAAACAAATTGTTTATACTCCACAACCAAGAGTAATTGTTTAGGTATAATTTCACGAGAACATGAACTTTAAAAATGTTTTCAGGGCATGACTATGATTGACGTGTTAAACATATTTAAGAATACTGCACTGTCATTGTCAAGAGCAAAAGTTTGCCAAACTCTGTAGAAACTCTTTCTTTTTATTATTGATAAATTATCAATAGATAATTTAATTATCTATTGATAACCTACCATTTTTATTCCACGACGCCTAGTAGTAGAATATAAATATGCATGTTGCTCCTGAGGCTGTTAGGTTAGGTAACTAACAAGAAAATTGTGTCCTTTTCTGATTTAAATAAAAATATTTCTAGTGATTCTATATTGGAAACAAATCAATGATTGTCTGTTTTGTCCAATGGCACCTTAGGGGACTTGAATGACAAACATGAAAGACACAGATACTGCTTCATTTTATGTCTTGAGTTAAGAAAATGATATTGGCCTTTTTTATTAAAAAAAACTTTACATTGAGGTTATAAAAAAAAAAACATATATAACTTTTTCTTTTTATAAACAATGATGTTCAAAGATTTTAAAGTGATGAAGTTATGTTGCAGTTTGAAGTTCTATAACTGTTTATCTGATTTCAAGGTTAGTGGACTTGCTTAAAAGATTTAGTATTAAAAACTTGCTTAAAATCTTCATAGCATAGTATTTTGCATTATATTGTATTTTTAAAAACGTTAAGCAGTTCTTTATTTTTCGTAAGGAGTATCATTCCATATTGGTAACAAAAGTTCTTATCGCAAGAATTATGATAGTCTTGTAAGTTTATCTATCATTCAGTTCCCAAAGTTAATATTTTTGGGACTAACGAACATTTTCTGCTATGATCAATAAAAATTAAAAACAAAAAAATTTAAACAAATAATTTTTTCTCATATGTGGTTTTTGTATCTTTTAATGATTAATGATTCATAAAAATGTTTTTAGATTCTTACTCAGCAGCAGAGCTTTGATTCAAATGACTATTGGGATGAAGAATGGGATGATGATTGGGAAAATTCACCTCCTCCAGTTCCACATAATAACATGACTTCTTTAGATTCAGCTCCACAATCTGCCATAAGTAATATGTTGATTTGTTTTTTTGAACTATTTTATTGTTTTCTTTAGGTAAGCAAATAAGTGAAATTTTATTCAATACTATCAACTTTCATAAAAACTTTTTAAATTTGGTTTAAATGGTTCTTATTTTAAGTAGGAAGATTCTTGTTTTCAATGATTAAATGATTTAAAATGATTGTCGAAAGAGTTTCTCTCAAAGTTCAGGATATCGTATAAACTTAACGTCACTAGCTTTAGAAGACATTTATTTTGTAATGGTAATTACTTTAATTAAACAATTTATATGTGTGTGTGAGGGAGGTGATAGACACTAATACTAATACCAACCGATGCCCACATTTAGCAATGTGCTTATCAGTAAAAACAAAATTTAGTGAACTCGGGTTCTCATTCTATAGATATGGAATGTTGTCCCCGCCCTTTTTGGAACATGCAAGGATGCTTATTCAGGGAGCATGCTCAAGTGTTTAGGCAGCTTTTAAATGGCAGGCGGAGGATGACTAGTGTGTGAAACTATAGTATAAGCTTCATGTGTATCTATTTTTGCTAACTGGTGGGCAGGCTGTACATGTTAGTAGGGAGATTTCTCCATGTACATAGGGAGGAGGGAATGCAAAGTGAATGCTTATTAGGGGGAAATATGTAATTGCTATAGTTTCTGTCATTAGTGGAATGATTCGGCTTGATTGAGCATACAGGGCAAGTTCTATAAATAAAATTCAATGAGAAAGACAATTGTTAATGGAATAAAATCCTAATTAAAACTGAATAAAAAATTCATGATACATAGATACAGAGAATATATCCCCTATGACATAGACAAGCTTTATATTTGCGAAAACTTAAAGGATACATTAGTCATTGTAAAGTTGGGATACCAGACTCCTTAAGCAATTGAAACTAATTCTAAACAGGATTCTATGCTGCAATGCTATTAGGTAAATATTATAAGGAAACAATCTCTTTTGACCACCTTGATGAAAATTCAATCTGTGTTTTCGTTGATTCCATATTGACCGATTAAATGTGCTTAACATAACTTGCCTTTTTTTTCTGTTGGCATTACTGACTATGTAGGTATTTTGCTGCCTTTACAAGCCTTCTTCATCTCTGCCTGTCTTGGGCTATTTCTTTCCATTTATCTGCAAGCAGCTCTATTGTATCTTTGTTGATTTTTTCTATCCATCTGCTTTTTGGCCTTCCACGAGGTTTTTTTGCCTTCTGTTGAGGCATTCATTGTTATTTAAAAGCTTCCAGATAGATTTCTACAAGCTACATGCCCTGCCCATCTTAACCTCCATGCCTTAATATCATGGAATATTGATTGATCAGTTTCTATAAGCAGTTCTTTATCGATCTTTCTTCTCCATGTGTTAGTACTCTGATTCCAGATCGTTTCGGTTATGTTGTAGAGGGCTTTTCTCTCAAATCTTTCAATACTTTTATTAAATAAACGTTTATTTTACTGTATCTCAATACTATTTCTGCCCATTGGTCATTCTTTGAGGTTATTGTGGAGCCAAGGTATTTGAATTTTTCTACTCTCTAAGGGGGATGGTTTTCCTTCTATGCAGATCCTGTTATTGGGGTGGAATTTTCGGCTTATATATTTTGTTTTGTCTTCATTTACTTGTAGGCTGATCTGCTTTGCCGCTCTTTTATGAAAGTCTTAGGGTGTTTCTCAATGTCCTCTTGATTACTTCCAAGGACAACTGTATCATCTACATACCCAAGAATTTTATGATTCAGTTCGACGTCGACCTTTCCATTTTCCTGTGATGTTCTTATTAGCTTCTCCAGGGCTAAGTTGAACAACATCGGTGATAGTCCATTTCCCTGCTGTAAGCCCGTTTGAACTTTGAAGGCTCGATATATATATATATATATATATATATATAGAGAGAGAGAGAGAGAGAGAGAGATATCTCGAGCCTGCCAGTTGTCCTCAATGGTTTTCCAATTGTTCTTTGAGGAATTCTCTTTTTGCTGGTCTTATAGTTTTGTTTGCCTTTTTCTTGGCAGCTGTGTATTTGTCCTGAGCAACTTGATCAGTTAGGCACTTTAATTTTTCTTCTTTCCTCTACTACCTTTTCGCATGCTTCCGTGAACCACTTCTTAGCTTTTCGTTTCTCCTGAATACTGATCACTTCTTTAGCTGTTTATTTTAGTCCTTTAGATATTTTCTCCCAGTGATGGCCCACCGTCAGGCTATCTGAATCCAAAGGTTTGAATTTATTTTTCAGCTCAGCTTTTGAAATTTGGTTTTTTACTTCAAGATTTTTCAAATTATGGACTTTGTACCACTTTCTGTCCACTCGATCCTCTGTTTTGTGTATTCGCTTCAATCACTGACATAGTTTAATTCTTGCATTAATCATAACTTGCATTAATGAATAGAAATGGTATAATTTACTTTCATGGCAATTCTGGTTATCATGTTAAATTGATAACAAAAATGTTGCGCTTAGACTAAAGTATGTTACCATTCTCATTGCATTATTTAGTTTGAGTGCCATTAAACTAAGAATATTTTTTGGTCAATGAAAAATTTGTTTGCTAGTTGAAGTGTTAGTTTAAGAAATAATAACTGTTTTTCAAGAGTCATTTGTAACCAGCAGAAAATGATTTAGGATGATGGTAATAAGAAAGTATTTAAAAGCTAAAGTGTAAATAATATTTTGTGCTGTAAAATATTTTCCATTATCCAATTTTGACCTTAATTCTATATTATATTTTCACATTTATTTGCTTTTGTGTCAATTTAATACTGATAATAACGTTCATGAATAATAAGTGATCAAAGATTAGTGGTTATTAAATTGGCCTAAAGTCAAATCAATGTGGGAAAAACAAAATATTTTTGCATTATATCTTATGTATTATAAAATACTATTTTATTATATCATCTGTATGGTACCCGTTAATTACTTGTTAATTACTTCTTTCAAACCCAATATAATATATTATTGCACATTAATTAAATTATGGGTTTGGATTTGTTTTAAAAAGAAAGTATTTAGTAAATAAACGATTTTGTTCTTTCAATAGTATATGCAAATCTACTTTTATGGCTTAAATGATCGATATTACTTAATGAAATTTAATTTTTAAAAATGTGTAAAATATATTTTGTTTGTATGCTGTTGTTTTTTTTAGTAAAAAGTCAGGAAGACACTAATGTTCCAGTTATTACAAGAAAAAACTTTAATAGATACTCAATGTTTGATAAAACTGGCGGAGAAAGTTACATACTTGGATCTATTCAAAGACCTGTACCAGATTCAGAAAAAATTAAAATAATTGAGACTGAAAATGGTGTGATGTGGAATCCTATCACAAATCCATATGTATGTATTGTTGCATCACCTAAGAAGGAATCAAAGCTCAAAGGTTTAAAGAGCTTCATAGCTTATCAGCTAACACCATCGGTAATTTTATTTTTCCTATGAATTTCATTTCTAATTTTGTTTCTGTTACTATAATTAAACTATTAGAATTTGTTTATTATGCTTTTTATGGTATGTTTGTAGTTTATAAAACCTTATATTTAACTATTATTACATCATACACTTTATTCGATATAAGTTTTTTGACATTTTTAATTAAATTTAACATACTGATTGTGTACCATTGTATTAAATTGCAGTAGTTGATTTTATGTTTTTAACGTTTCAAAAGTGATAAGGTGGCTAGTTCAGTTATTTTGTAGTGCGTATAGTTTGCATATTATGTTATGTATTTGTTTTGCATTTATTTTATGTAGATCCACACTGAAATAAATTAAATAAAAATTGTAACATAAGAACGGGTTGTATTAATACAGGGTGGTGACCGACCAGGAAAAAGGATAAGAGTTAGAAAATTTTCAATACAAGGAAAACAGGATTTCCAGCGATTTTCATCCTGAAAATTCACATACATTTCCTGTTTTTTTCTGATTTTTCCCCGTTTTACTTGACTTTTTTTCTGTTTCACTTAAAAAATAATAGTTAATATTGTTATGTGTAACAAATTAATCAATTAAAAATTAAAATAATAAGTGCTGCGTTCTATAGTGTAATATAAACTTGCAACTTATACTCATGTTACACTTTTTATTTTGTTTTATGCGAAGCATATTTGAGTAATGGTCTGCAAAAAATTAATTTGAATGGTGTACAGTGCATTTGTAGTAATTTGAGATGTCCACTATCCCAAAAATAATAGACTGTTGTAGTAAATAGAAAATTGTCGGGAGGGGGTGGGGAGGGATGTCTTTTATATTTTTTATAACCTCTAGAACATATATATAGGAGTTCTGGAAATGTCTTTTATATATAAATATATATATATATATATATATATATATATATATATATATATATATATATATATGTATATTGTAATGCCTGAATCTACTTATTTTATTTTTCCTTTCTTTTTTTTTATATTTATTTTTTCTCACCATTTTACCCCTTTTGAATGTTAGTTAATAAAAAAATCCAAGGAATAACTGTCTCCAAAACCTATTTGATTGTATATTATTTAAATATTAGGTATTAAAGATAGATTGGTATGTTATTTTGTATTAATTCATCTTTGTTATTCTAAGGGGACTTAGTCCCAGAATAAAGTTCTATTTTCTATTCTATTCTATTATTCGTTGTGTATTATCGCATATGTACAGATGAGATAACCTCATTGGGAGTAGAGCTATCTATCTCCAATTTGGATATTTTCTCCTCTCCACAGTCACTGAAAGACATTTTGATATTAATTTAATTTTCCCTATAAATTATTATTATGACATTGATTGAACTTTAAGTTGATTTTTCTTTTTCTTTTAATTAATCGCTAATTTAGAAGTTTAATTTTATTTATATTTTATTTTTTGATGAACAATTTTCTTTGTTTTCACTGAATATTATATTTTATGTTTTTTATTTATTTCAGTGAACTTTCATACCATAATTTGTTTGGTTTTAACTTTTGTATGTGTAGACATTCGAAAGGGTGATTATTTATTTTCCATCTTCAATCGATTGAATATTTATATTTAACACGTTAGCTGCCGCTACGGTTCCTGGATTCCCATTTAAAATTTCTTTTTTTGTGTTCCTTGTAATTATTTATTTTTTAAAAAAAGCCAATAATGCCACAAAAAAAAAGTTGCTGCACTGCCACAAAATGGTGTCCAAACATGGTGAATTGATGGTTTTGACTTGAGTTAGTTTTTGGGTCACTGAGAATTGGCATTTGGTCATAATTGGCCTTTTATTAAAGCTGGATCATTAGAGAATTATAAAACATAAAAATCAATTTTTTTTTCAAAAACAAATTTTGAAAAATATATATATTGGTAAATGTGTTAAGTAGGGTGCTTTTAACTAGCTTGTGAATAAATAAAATTAGGCTTTTTATCATTTTTCACGTATTTAAAAAAAACAAAAAACATATGTTAGCTATTATCTGTTTTGACATGTTCTCAGCAAAGGAATAATCTGACTTACCCGTCCTTCGGACTTCCATGAAAGTCGGTACAGGGGTTCCTCAGGTGTCCAGCGCCTTCCTCCATATAAGCCCTCTTTAGCTTTCTCGTGACTTCTCCCCATGGTGTCAGCTCATTTGCCTGTATTTCATTTAGAACTGACCTATCTCTTACTACTAGGGAGGCACACAGCTTTGTAGTGTCTAGTGGTTCTATAGCTGCGATCCTGGCATTGATTAAGTAGTGTATTTGGTCACCTCGTTTAAGAAAATGGTTGAGATATCCAACGGGACCTCTTTGAATTTTTTCTGGAAATCACAAAAAATGTTATGACTTCAATACGACTTTAGCTAACTACAAGAAATTTGGCAGGAATTCAGGGCCACATAAACTACACAAAATGACACCAACAGGACCTTTCTCAAACAAACTACAAATTGAGATAAAAAATAAAAAACTATAAGGAGTTTTTGTTTATTTATTCAGTATGTAGGCATCGAATCAAAAAACCATTCATACGACTTTGAAGAGCAATAATTCAGCTTTCCAACGGATATAGTAACATCGAATTTGAAGAACATCCGGAGGAGTCATGAATGATTTAGTGGATGAATGGTTAGCTGCAGAGGAAAAATTCTAAAAGTGAAATGGTTTGTCGCTATGATCACGAGATTAGGATCCCTCTTACCTTCTTATATATTATTTCTCAAATATATATCCATTTTCAGTTAAATTTGGGCTAGTTCAAAATTACACAAACAAATTCAGATATATATTCAATAACAAGTAACTTTTATTATTGCAAATTAAAATTTTTTTCAAAATGTTGAAAAACAGATAATATTCAACATATTTTTTTTTTTAAATCATTTTATTGGAAATGATACCAAGCCTTATCTTATACATTCACAAGTTAGTGAATCGCAATTTTTACTTGTTGGGCACCTGGCTTTACTAGCCTTTCATCTCTAACGAGATAAATACAGAGAATAGAAGTTACTTAACCATTATTTGGCCATGATTAAACATTTATCCTACCATGCTAGCTCAGGTGAGAAGGGGTTAGGTTGGATATTTTTATAAAGCAACAAAAAAGGTTAAGAGATCTATTTACAGAAAAAAAATATTTACAGAATTAATACTATTTACAAGCAAAAGAAATGAAATGAAGGAAAAAAGAGAAAATTTACACAATATTAAGATAAATAGGAAGATACTTAAGATAATAGAAATAACAAAAAAGATAATTATTCTATATGCAATAGTATGGCATCTCACATATAAAGATCAAGAAACGATAGTAAAGATATAGGATATCAGCAGAGCACATGCACATGCTAAAGTAGGAATTAATAATTAATCACAGGAAACAAAAGAGAGGAGAGTTCTGTTTTTTTTACAATGCTTCCTTAATCTTGGTTACACTAGTTAAGCACCTTACTTAACAAATGTATATACTTGTATATGTATACTTGGTGATGCAATTTCTATACATGATTGATTGTAAATGCATTTCCTATGGAACCACATCAAATATTTTAATAATTAATCCGTGTTATAGAAAGAGAAATCTATCCTACAGATGTTTTCTTTCAGGGTTTTTTTTTGTTATTGTTGGCTGTTTAATTTTCAAGTTTCAAGTTGATTTTAAACTCAGAAATTTGTTTTAAAAAAAACTTACTTCACTAGTGTTTATTATTGCCTAAGCCTATTATTTTTTAAAATATTTTTTCATGTTTTATTATTCTCTTACTTCTTCTTCCTCGGCGCTACAATCCACGAGAGACCTGGGCCTCCTTCACAATTTTTCTCAATCTGTTGCAGCAGCTCTCCACCAAGTCGTCTGAAACCCGCCTCTACGTCATCTATTCACCGGAGTGGTGGCCTGCCTCTCCTTCTTTCTCCTCCCAGTTGTCCATACAACACTTTCCTTGGCACCCTTCCCTCCGCCATCCTCTACTCATGGCACGGCCATCTCATACGGACGCCTTGATGAAAGTGACAATGTCTGCCTCTCTGTATTGTGCAGCAAGCTCCCAGTTGTACTTGCCTCTCAAGACTCCTCTCTTACACAAAGATCCATATATCTTGCACTGGATCTTCCTCTCCCAGACTCCCAGCACTCTTTCATTCTCTGACTATCCAGCTTTAATAGAAGGCCAATTATGACAAAATTATGCCAAATGCTGAATCTCAAGGACCAAAAATCTATCTCAATCCAAAGTCGTCAATCCGCCATTTTGGAGCAGTGTGGTCTCCTTTTTTTTTGTGAACATTTTTTTTTTTTTAATTAATAGTTACAAGGAACACAACAATATACAATTTATAGGGTTGTGGATGGGGAGGTATGGGGAGGGTGCATGGTAGGGAGATCCAGCCCAAAAACTGATACGGGCTATAAGCTATATCTATCTTATTGAATTCCATCCATGACTTATCCTACATATGCACAAATTTATTTTCTTTGAATCATCTATATCTCGAAAACTGGACATTTAATTTGGCCCAAATTTGGAGAGAAGTTAAGGATTGATAAACAAATGACCAAGTAGGTAACAGTGTCATCAAATTTCATACATTACATTAAAAAAATACATTCACTTTTACATTTGTTAACATATTGTTTTGAACATGCCTGTATTTCTAAAACAGCTCCCAAAGTTGGAGGAATTTGAAGAATATTGTAAAACTCGTCTAATGTCAATTTGATGGATTTCCATTTTACAATTAAAATTAAATTAAATAACAGTTAAAACAATAAGAAAATAATAATGGCTGTGAAATTTGGTAGGCACTGAATATGTAGAAAGGGGTCATATTCATATCTTTTTGAACTAGTTACTGTTGAAAGGTAAGAGGTAGACATCAATAAATTTTAAGTATGTACAAGCTTTCTTTTTATGTACGTTGTAAATTTCACTCATATTCTTATTCATATTCCTCCTTCAATTACTTTTGATA